ATCAATATTTTTGTTCTCTTCTTTCCTCAATTTTTGCTCTTAATTATATGAAATTTGAAAATCTCTCTTTTTAAAAAATCTCTCTTTTTAAAAAAATGATAAAAATCTTTAATTACTAAGTCCAGGATGGTAACCTGTTGGCCATTTTGTTTTTCTTATCAATTTAAACATAAAAAAAACATAACTAGAGAGTAAGGGTAACATATGTATGGAATTTGAAAAAGATCCATCGGGTACTTCAATTCTCAACAAATAGTAAGAGCAAACCTTTTTGTGAAAATCCAAAGCTGCAGCCTATGGTCCAGTTTGGTTCTCTGATCTGTCCTAAAATCAGAAGGACACAACAAGGGACCAAGGGGAACTTTCATGTGAACTTTTAGAAAGATCCCTCTAGTACTTTTCAAGCAATAGTAAAAACCCAGTATGGATGTCTGTCACCATTTTGTTCTTCTGATCAGTCACAAAATCAATAGGACATAACTAGGGGCTACGGGGGAATACATATATAGAAGAAGAATAGTCAAAACCATTTTGTTTTTTGAATCAATTCAAAATTAAAAGGTCACAGCTATGGACACCGGGATACCTACACCTGAGTTCAGTTCAGTTGACCCACTTGTTTCAGAAATCACACCGTTTTATTTTATTGAAGCGACGAATTTACTCCAAAGTTGTAAATATGGTCCATTGTCTTCATCCACTACGTTATCTCTAACACACCATTCATTATTGTGTACAGCCTGCGTCTTGGTGATTCAGAATTCTAATAACCAAATACAAAATAGAAATCAAGGAATTTAACCAACCCTACTGTGTACATTAGTTATATCCGGAATTTGACCAGCATCATTTTTACAACTGTGCCCTGATATAAGCACAGTGGTCAGTTAAAATGAAATAAAGTTTACAGTATTTATTTGAAAGCAATCCAGAAGAAGGAAACAAAACATTTCTCTACAATATTAAATGGTTTTTTTGCTTCAAAGTTGTTTTTTTTTTTAAATATATAATCAAAGAAGTGCATGAATGGGGCATTTTAACCAGGTATACTTTCCTATCATTCATTTTGGCCCAGAGGCTTCAGTTTGGCCTAGGCACCCCTCCTAAACAGCTGATCAGCTACTGGACATGTTAGCTTCAGTAGGGAAAACACTGTGTTCCCTTTTCTCCTCCCAAGAAACAAGATATTAAAATCAAACTTAAGTTATACCAGACGTAAATGCACCTAACAAACATTTATCTCATAAAAACATACTAGACATGATGTGTCACTTGTTTAAAATTGAAATCAGTATTTCTTAGGAAAATTCAAATAAAAGTAAAACCAAAGCACATTACTCAAATGTGTTTTTCTCGTTTAAGCACATAAGACCTTTACCCTTGTGGTTTTCATACTCTAGACCATTGTCACATCTCTTCAAATTGTAGTTTCCATACTTGAATTAGATGACAGTTTAAATCAGACTTGATGTAAAGTATGACACTCTAAATGAATGTTCATATACCTTTAAGTTGCGGTGATGAATGAGATAATCAGGAACATTTCATTAAAAACTATGTTGTGTAAATTTTCATTATTAAATTTTGAAACATTTTAATAATGTCTGTTTAAAGTTTAATTTGATTAATGACTAAAATTTTGCAATTTTTTAAAACATATGTTTTATTTATTAATAAGTTTTTAATACCAGTAACTGTCTCATAAATAAGCAATGTGTTTGTGTAATAGAACTATTCATAACACTTTATCACTGGGAATAGAGCTGAAATTATCATAGGCTAATACAGTTGTGGTATCGCAAAATGCACCAAAAACTGTACGCACATCATGTGCACATCGTGTGATACGATACTTATCATGCACACAATTTTGCAAAAGGATCTCACATTTTGTGGTGTTTGGTAAAAAAAGGTTCGCTAATATTACGGATTGAATTAAACATACAATTTGTGAAGTTATTACTAATTATTGGTGCCTCGGGCAACTAAAGTTGACCTGTATACGGGTACATACATAAGAGGTCCAGATCCATACTAGCTGGGTCACCCATGTAACAAACACAACACTTCACATTTATCTGAGCATATATTTTTTGTTTACAAAATGAATGAAAAATAAGAGTGAAAATAAAATTTCCTTTCTGACGGTATGAGATTTAAAATGATTCATTGCTGTGACATAATGAGGCTTCCATTTAATGTTTACATATATAATGTATATATAATGTGTATCCGTACACTAAGGCTGGTCACATGTGGCTCTTTGTAAACAAAACACTTAAAATTAAATAGGATATATAACTATTCAGCTTGTATCTGATATATCTACAAGAATCTAACCTATATATTGATGGTTTATCGAATATTTGCAGGTATAGTTCATACTTTTTTAGGCAAATACTGTCATGTCAAAAAGGGGATGCATATTATTCACAGGAACATGCCATTCTTGGGGGTTATCATTCTCGAGGTTCTCTGTACGCCATATTGGATTACCTCCCTTGACATAGTTATATTTAGAGTCGTCGGTCATATATGATAGAATGAAGATAAAAACACAAAGAATAAATTAAATTTTGAATGTTTTATTGCAATTCATTTATATATATATAAAAAAAAACTTCTGTCTTCACCACGCTCACAAAACAACTTGTATAGCATGATTACACACACACACCAACGTAAACGTAAAATGGAAATCTAAGTGACATAAAGGAACAAAAGCACAAGTTTACAATAGCACTACAAATTTTAACAGGTGCCGTGGTACTTACGACTTGCATAAATGAAACAGTAGACTGATAAATCCATAGAGCACTAAGTAGGAAGTTATGACCTCTCTGGATCTGCATGGCCTGCAGGCACAGTTCTGTGGTACTAGTGGGCTCTCCAACACCAGAATAAGTCTAGTATTAGTAGGTTCTTCTGGCGAGTATTGGGTCTCTTCCCCTATACGGTTTGCAGCTATTCTTTCATACTTTATTCACTCATCCATCCTTTTTCCTGGATGCGTGCGATCACACCCTTTGGGAAGTTTCCAGGGGGCAGGGTCTTTCATTTGAAAACGATGTAAGGCGGAAGTTTAGTCCCATCAGCCATACACACCAGCATCACCGCGAAACTATTCTTCTCTTCTCCCATCATTTCTCCCATCATTCCAATTGACATGGTTATACTATTGGTCGGGGCTATAGTAGTGTCTGAAGGTAGATCAAAAGGAAGAGGTGTTTTGTCGGTATTCCCAATTCAAGACGAGTTTTGTTGTATTTCTGCCTCATTTCGATGATCTTTGGAATTGTAAAAGTTTATCTTCAAAGTCGTCCGAAAGTTTTTGGGCAATTGCCATTTTCCTCTAGATATTCAACTTGTGTCTGTTCATAAATCTGACAGCCCATCCCATTGATTGCCTGCAGGTGCAGTTTTATAATACTGACAGCAATGCCGGCATCTCGGCAATCACATACAAAATTGTACAGCTCTCTCCTTCTCTGGATGCTCCGTGTTGCACCTCTTTCGGCCTTTCTGGTCAGGGGTTGGGACTTCAGGCATTCTTCTTTTTTCTTCCATGCCCCGATATTGGATGCTGGGATGTCAAAGTGGCTGCCAGCAAACATCCAGTTTCTCTTTGGCTGTAAATAATGTTCTCCGTTTCCTCATGTCAATGTCAATGCAAGCAACCTAACATTAAGTACCTTCGGACACTGCGGTGGGTACAGATACCATGAAAGATCATATCAGCACTGCACATATCACCTGCTTTTATGGGGACAAGATAGGATTGGAAATTTTCAGACTGTTAAAACAACATTGTTTTCTGACCAATAGCATGCGTTCAGCCAAAGCCAGATGTAATCAATCTCCTCATACTCAACATGTAACGTGTTAATAACTGTAAATTATCAAATTAGCCTCGCCTTCTGTACTTGTTAAGTCATTTTTTAATCCATAATTTCACAAAAGAGACATTGTTTAAATATTAGTCTTGATGTAAGATTTATAATTTTCATATTGTACAACATGACACATTAAGTGTAAATAATTTCAAATAGAAAATCATGCACATGTCCAGGGTAAACTATTTCTGATAGACAACGGTGTACACAAGAAGATAAAACAACAATCTTTACAATATTTTGGACAATATTTTTGTGTAATTAATTTAAGTTCTGCTCCGATTGCACTGGTTACTGCTATTGAGATATAGACACTGTGAGATATGATCAATTCTATGTTACCTTTGAACTACCTTTACCTGCAGAAATTGATTAGATTGTAAATTTAACTAAGCCATCAAGTTCAAATCACTCTATCTTTAGAATACAAAATGTACAAAATGATGTTTATTGGATTTGTTTTTCACAGATATTAATAGAATAAAACAAAACTGTACGTGGCCTTGTGCTGATGAACACTTTTTAATAGATTCAATGCTTTCAAAAAACACATAACTGAACCAAATGCAATCTAAATTAGCTTTCTTGATCTCAAAAAAGGCCACAATTCAAAACTTATTTATGTTATGAACCGTGCTAAGTCATGTCCATTCTAATGATTCAGCACACCTACGTATGGTTTATGGCTATCTAACCTTTCAGGTCACCTAAAAAATTTGTTAATCTATTTGAAGTTGTTTCTCTGTGGAAATGCTGACACATTAACCCAGACTCGACAATCAGATTTGGATGGGCTGACTACCAGACAGCGTTATGGGTTTCCTGATTTGTAAAAACAGCAAAGGGCCTTTACATCAATGAACAGTATTGATTGTAGGATTTCTAGTTTTGGAGAAGAAGTTTTTTTACTAACTTAAAGATGCAATTGTAGGTTGTGTGCCAGAAGTACAAATATACGGATAAAACAATATTAAATGACCAACTGAGAGACAAAATAGACTTCTCTTTAATATATCCATTTCTAAACCTTGACAAAAATCTTGTAGTATCATGACACTCAGCACACTTTCATTCCTTAAATGTCAATAAGATTAATTTTGTACATACCTATGGATATTTTTTGTTGAGCTATGTATTTTTCAAGCCTCTTCCTGAAGATGATCTCCCCACCATATTTGCCCACAGTACCATTGTCAACGAGGAGGAAGTAGGAGTGATTACTGTTAAGGACTGCATAATTAGTTTTAGGTGATGACACACAGTGGTATGGCACCACTTTCTGAAACAGAAACAACACCAACTTTAACAAACTACAAATTCCTGGTGCTAATATTGTATATACAATTAAAACTTTCTTAATTGGAAAAGGCTTGATACAAATCTCTGATTATTACAAAGTAAATCTGCAGTTTTGTTTCTTCTTATGAATTTGGATCTAACAAAACAAAATTTCAAGACAAAGTAATTTCTGAATAAAATGTCTGCACCAGTTAAAAGAAAACCTTTATCATTAAAAATAAAACATTGATGCCTGATTTGGAATCCCTGCTAGTTTCTTCATCACCATTTACAAAAACAGAAAGTATTTCACACATGTTCAGACCATGTAGCATTTACCAGCAAAAAAATCCATACCTGTTATCATCAAAATGTTGAGGATGCACTTTTTGAGTGGTGAATTACAATTAGAACCAGAAACATTCCATTAAATGGACCAATGTTGATAAAGAAAGCAAATGATTTTCGCTACAAAACTTCAAGCTGAAAATTTTCAAGCAAACTCTCCATAGCTTAATAGATTAAAAAGAATGCAAAGGAATTGTTTGCAGATTAATCAGTGTTGAAAGCGCTGTTTTAGACCAGAATTGGATGGATAAATGGAAAAATGACACAACTTTCCTTGGAAGGATATTACACATGTGACATTTTAACTGCTGAACAGACAGGGCTATTTATAAATGTCTCCTAAATAGAACACTTCAGTTAAAGGAAGATTCCTGATGGCAAAAATGGGAAGAAATGGCTTGTGCCACTTTGGATAGTTTAACAAAGATGGAGCTGCCAGTCACTGGAAGATTCAGAAATCAACAAGGCTTTAAAGATGTAAAAAGTTTTCCATAGAGTATAACTGGAATAAAAAAAAATGCATGGATGATTGATAAACTTTGTAAGAGAGGGACAGAAAATTAGATAGGAAAATGACAAGAAAAAACAGAATAGTCCTTTTGTTTGAGGATAAAAGTACAGCATACCTGAGACTTCAAAATCTTCAATTGGCAAACCAATAAGTTGTTTTTGTACCTTTATTTTATCCATTGAGCCATTGCTCTATTTACTCTATTGAATTATTTCAAATTATGTAATTATCTTTTCTTAATTTAAAAATAACAAAGGGCAATAACTCCTACACTATGCAAATGATAGTGATGATTATTGTGCAATGCAGTTCTCTTTGACGAGATCTATCTACCTTTGAAGTTTTATGCTAATACCTCTTATGGTTTTTCTGCTATGATCCAGATAAAATTAAGGCAGATGGACAAAACAGCGAATATATGCTCTCCCTTTGGGGAGCTTAATAAAAGACTATAAGGGCAATAATTAAGGCTCAAATGCCACAAAGAAATAGACAATATGTCATGGTAATACAATCTGCCTGATGATCATCTTGATATAATAAGATGTAGGACTTGATCTTATGATCAATTTACTATGAAGTATGAACCAAATCTGTAGGAAGGTTAGCAAGATACAATACTACATGGCTCTGAATGGAACAAGATAGGAAGTGACAAATGGACAATTGTAAAACTATATGCCCATCAAATAAAATAACGTAGATATATAAAAGACAAATTTATGACCATGATAAAGTAATGCAAGCTTATACAGCTATATAAGGTATCATACTGTAGATTCGACTTTATAGTGTTTTATCCTAACAACTTGTCAAAAATTTGTTTGATCAGCCATTACATCAGTCATTTAGATTAAGCATCTGTTCCATGATATCAAAGAGAAAAGATGTAGCAATGAGATATAGAGCTTTACCTATTAATGAAGGTACAGAGTAAACCCTAGCACCAACTCTGGTTTTCTGTGATGGGAACAAAATATTCTATTACAAATAGTTCAGCTACAGAACAAAATTGTCAACTTACATCGAGTCACATTGGACAAATTTTCAGACGGGTGACATACCAGAAAGCATGTTTATTAGCAAACTGAAGGAGCAATACAATCCCTTTGGGTATGAAAGTTGGAGTGCAAGATCAGCAGAACACCAGACAGACATAAACTTACATCTTTGCCAATGAGGTCCTCTTTGTTTTCTACAATGCCCCAGGGTGCTATCCCGATGGCCACCACTTTATTTTTTAACTTGGTCGTCCTGTCACTAATTGTGTCTCCAACATGTCTTGTTACACCTAAGGCACAGGTGAAAAACTACATATTTGTAAACTCATAAAAAAAAAATGACATTATTATACTTTATATCCAACATGTCTCATTACAATCAAAGTGATGAGGAACAAGAGTCCCAATGGACATGTATAACTCATCTGGTATTCAATGTGTTTTATAAATACACTAACATAAGAATCATTGACATTCAAAACAAACAGTGAAATCACCATGCTTACATCGCAAGGTTAACATGTATGTTTACAACCAATGAATCACACTGTCTACAATGTTCGTTAATAAATTTTATCGACAATGAAATCACTTTCAATAGAATTTTTTATTGAATGGTAATAAATTGGGTGGGCTTTCTACCAGACATGACCTTACTGTCTAATAATTTCCTATCTCCACCTAACAATTTGTCAGACCCCAGGGCTTAGAGAAAACCTCAAGCCAATTCTGAAGACCTGATAGAAGCCTTCAAGCAAACGATCTTCTTTTACTGTTAAACATGATAGAAACATTGATATTTGATTCGTAAGTGGATGACTGGGAGTTATACAAACAGAAAAGAATTCATCCTCAGAAAAAAATTAAAACCTGATATTGCAACATCAAATGTAACACTTGTTTGGTTGGCAGACTGAAAAATGATGCATGGAAACTGTGTTTGCATTACGCATAGCTACATTATATATATATATATATATATATACATGTATATATAATACACCCTGGTCAAGGCTTTTCATACATCACCATTAAAGGAACGTATAGCAATATGTTACACACTAATTATGGCTTTCCATATCTCATCATTAAAGAGTACTTTAACTCACAAGAATTTATTTTATATGCTCATAAACATTCTGTAAAACCTGATTACATCAGCAGAGAATATGTGATCAGTTCATTAATTATCAATTCATTTAACAACTTTCACATTAATATTTTTTCTTATATAATACATAATTTAATACAACAACCATATTTGTCAGTTTCACAGCCTCAACTCCCTTTCCTACCCCAATTTTCATTTCACTAGTGATATTTTTTTTTAAATGCCATGAAGAAATAGACAACGTTATGATAATACAACCTACCATGTTGATCAGTTCAATACTGAAAGAGGAAATTAATGGACAAAATTACAATAAGGTAGAAAATGTCTGCAAGACATGAATACCTCCTATCAAGCTTCTTACACTTTTAATGTAATGTTCCAGACAAAATTTAAGTATGTAAAATAACAAAGGGCAATAACTCCTTAATTATGCAAAGGAAAATGGTGGTTATTATGCATTGCACCTACGTGTAGGAGAGATCTTGGTTTATTTTAAACCAAGTTGGTTATTAAAAACACAACACATGCTAAACAGGAGAGTGTTTTGATCTTATTAACCATGCTTCTATCAACACCTTTTGAATATATACGAAACTTATAATTAAGCTAATTTCCCAAAATACACGATTTACTCATGAAGTTCCCTTCCCAATTTAACAGTTTTCATCCTAAATTGAAGCAAAAATGCAAAAACAGAGAGATCCCACAAGGACCTTGATGTCACTATTGTTTGATGTTTATATGTTCTTTAGAAGTTTCATCTTCTCTTTCTTCTTCTCTCCTTTGTTTTTGCTCTTAATTTTACAAAATTTAAACAATAATGATAATAAGATAATTATCTTAAATGCCAAATCCAAGATGGTTGTATATTAGCCATTTTTTTTTATCAGTTGCAAAATTAAAAGGGTAACAACCTTTAACCAGGAGTATCTATAGATGCAGTTAGAGAAAGGTCCTTCGAGTGCTTCTCAAGAAATAGCAATAAAAAAAAACTTTCATCACAATAGTAGTGTTCCATCAAACTAGTGATATTTCCTTTACTATGGTGGTATTTCCATCACAATGATGATGCTTCTATCACTATGGTGGTGTTTCTATCACTATGGTGGTTTTTTCATCACTATGGTGGTGTTTCTATCACTATGGTGGTTTTTTCATCACTATGGTGGTGTTTCTAACACATTAATTGCACTTTCATCACTATGGTGGTTTTTTCATCACTATGGTGGTGTATCTATCACTATGGTGGTTTTTTCATCACTATGGTGGTGTTTCTAACACATTAATTGCATTTTCATCACTATGGTGGTGTTTTTATCACTATGGTGGTGTTTCTATCACTATGGTGGTTTTTTCATCACTATGGTGGTGTTTCTATCACTATGGTGGTTTTTTCATCACTATGGTGGTGTTTCTAACACATTAATTGCATTTTCATCACTATGGTGGTTTTTTTATCACTATGGTGGTGTTTTTATCACTATGGTGGTTTTTTCATCACTATGGTGGTGTTTCTAACACATTAATTGCATTTTCATCACTATGGTGGTGTTTTTATCACTATGGTGGTGTTTCTATCACTATGGTGGTTTTTTCATCACTATGGTGGTGTTTCTATCACTATGGTGGTTTTTTCATCACTATGGTGGTGTTTCTAACACATTAATTGCATTTTCATCACTATGGTGGTGTTTTTATCACTATGGTGGTGTTTCTATCACTATGGTGGTTTTTTCATCACTATGGTGGTGTTTCTATCACTATGGTGGTTTTTTCATCACTATGGTGGTGTTTCTAACACATTAATTGCACTTTCATCACTATGGTGGTTTTTTCATCACTATGGTGGTGTATCTATCACTATGGTGGTTTTTTCATCACTATGGTGGTGTTTCTAACACATTAATTGCACTTTCATCACTATGGTGGTTTTTTCATCACTATGATGGCGTTTCCATTACACTTGTGGTATTTTCATTAAATTACAGATATTTTCAATATAATCCTTGAAGAAAATTCTTTTATCAGAAGCAATTTATTTGCTTCTAGAATTAATTCTGCAAATCTTCACTTCAGAATTCAACTGATTGAGAGGGAGTCTACAAATTTTCACCCAGACTAAGGAATTATAAATCCCTACCTTATGTATCCTTTTTTATCACAAAGTACCATGGCTCATTATTTCTAAAACTATGTGAACAGAAACTAGGCATATATGCTGTATTTTCCGGGTTAGAAGTGGCATGGGTATATTGGCCAGAGAGTCTACTGTTATCATTTTTATTTCAATTTGATTCACATATTACTTGCACCAGAATATAAGCTACATCCTATCTCACTATGTAGTTATTATGTTGACCAAATTTTCTTGATATAACAGACAAGACTGACGGTTAAACATTAAATAAAGTTTGCAAATGAATTATGCACAAATAATCCTTTTATATTATTGATTGATATACTTGAAATCATTAAAAATACATATATAGCAAATATTGAACTCGTTCAGCTTGGAAGGCTTCAAAGATTGTCTACTAACATATATAGAGCCTGACTTTATACCTATCACCCTATAACATATCAATCCCAGGGTTCAATAGGCAATTATAAACTTTCCTCATGTCTTCCCGTAAAGTCAAGAAGATAATATGGTAATTCATGTTAAAAGGTAGGATTAATTAAATCAACGAGAATGTTATTTTTATTGCAATTTTCAAATCATCCTGTATATAATAACAAGCGACGGTTCTACACTATCTGTTTTGACAATTATTTTGTGACTATATTTGACAAAAATGCCGAGCCAGGAGCGGGTCACTTATCTGCCCCACTTTACATAGGTCCAGAGTTCTGACATTCGTTAACTCTAGCATGATATAAAAAAGTCAATAGAACATCAGAATACTTTAGACTGCTACCTGTATTGGTTCCCCCAGTAATTATCCACGCCCCTGTTGTTTTAGCTGCCTTCAGAAGTCCCTTCCTAAACACTCGCTTCAGTTTTGGCTGGAGGTCAAAGTTGAGAATGCCGCCATGAACAGTGATAAGAAGTTTTGGAAAATCGAGAGCCCAGTGTTTCTGCAGTAGCTGTAAGACCTGCTCTGGTTTGGTGTCGAAGCTGCTTAATCGTACATACTGAAAACATAGTGTAAGATGTCGGTAAATCAAAGATGTTCAACTGCGCATACTGTAAATCACTCAATTATATCTCATGTGAGATTTCTTTTCAGTAAAGAGATCAAAATCAATAAAAAATTCAAATTTTCCAACATTATTTGTAAAAAAAATAACTCTGGATGGCATCCATATTGATTTGATTACTGATATTGGTGTTTTGATTAGTCCATGTCTCTTACAGCTCATCATTTGTGAATTTCGAGCCATTTCTAGATAATTTCTTGCGAAATCATGTATTCATGAGTATGTCTGAAGATGTAAATTCGTGAAATTTAAGTGATTTAAAGTACTGATAAAGTTGTAAGGTTATACCATAAAACAGTGCTGATATTTCTAGTACAGGTAAAGCTGTAACGCGTAGGAAGTGAATTATATTAATCAAATTGTGGTAATCAACCTTGAAAAGATCATTTTAAAATACATTTGTTGTGACTATATAAAGTAAAGATATAATTACAATCATTTAAGTAGATAAGAACAATTGTACCGACAAGCTGAAAGATGCTGAAATTTTGAAGCCAAAAAGCCAATTGCAGTATCAACGGTTTGTTATGTTCAATGTCCTATCAATACCTATGATCATTTCAGGATGCCAGGCCTCCATATGTAAGGAAGTATCTATGCAGTGTGTATGTTTGTGCAAGACTGTAATATGTTCATGTAAAAATCTGCTTCAGATAGTCAACTTTATAGTGCTACCACAGCTAGAGCCCATCTAGATACCCAGGTGAACACTTGCTTCACCTAGGGCACAAGTAGAACCCATCAGGACATGCACGATAACATGCGTCTCAGCCTAGGGATATCTAGAGCCCATCTAGACACCCAGGTGAACACTTGCTTCACCTAGGGCACAAGTAGAACCCATCAGGACATGCAGGATAACATGCGTCTCAGCCTACGGATATCTAGAGCCCATCTAGACACCCAGGTGAACACTTGCTTCACCTAGGGCACAAGTAGAACCCATCAGGACATGCAGGATAACATGCGTCTCAGCCTAATCTAGACACCCAGGTGAACACTTGCTTCACCTAGGGCACAAGTAGAACCCATCAGGACATGCAGGATAACATGCGTCTCAGCCTACGGATATCTAGAGCCCATCTAGACACCCAGGTGAACACTTGCTTCACCTAGGGCACAAGTAGAACCCATCAGGACATGCACGATAACATGCGTCTCAGCCTACGGATATCTAGAGCCCATCTAGACACCCAGGTGAACACTTGCTTCACCTAGGGCACAAGTAGAACCCATCAGGACATGCACGATAACATGCGTCTCAGCCTACGGATATCTAGAGCCCATCTAGACACCCAGGTGAACACTTGCTTCACCTAGGGCACAAGTAGAACCCATCAGGACATGCAGGATAACAAGCATCTCAGCCTAGGGATATCTAGAGCCCATCTAGACACCCAGGTGAACACTTGCTTCACCTAGGGCACAAGTAGAACCCATCAGGACATGTAGGATAACAAGCATCTCAGCCTAGGGATATCTAGAGCCCATCTAGACACCCAGGTGAACACTTGTTTCACCTAGGGCACAAGTAGAACCCATCAGGACATGCAGGATAACAAGTGTCTCAGCCACAGGACATCTAGAACCCATCTCGACATCCAGGAAAATACATTTGCAGTTCAAAACCATTAAAAAAGACATCAAAGCTAAAAAGAGTTCAAATACAATATGCTATTCTATGTAAAACATTGACGTAGCTCGTTACAGGAGCAACTACATATCAAAAACAAACAAAAACAGAGACGAGTTGACTGAGCTATGTTGTTGGAGACAACAACCTTGAAATGTGTTAGATTGGAAAAGCAAAAGGCTCATTGGGCCTTTATTACTCCCCTGTTCTGTAGAACTCAAGGTCATTCATTTGAAGAAAATAAAAACAATGAAAGCCTTTTCATACCAGCATACTACTGGCCCAGAGTCCTGGTTTTTGGTACCTCCTCTGTTATTGGGGCAGTGTTGTAACCAAAATAATTATGCTAAGCTGATGGAAGCCACATCATGACATGGCCTTACTTGCTCTTCAGATGAGCTTATATTTAATAGATCACTTTTGTAAAATGTCAGTATGATAGGTTCAATATGTCAATGCAATGTTATTATCAACTTCAAATACAGAGAGTTTTTAAAATCTTTTTAAAGGAACTATAACTCAGTCACCGATCAGCAATTCCAATCATATCAAAACTATTTGAACTCTGACATACATGAATAAATGTTTGCCATTTAATTAAAGCAGAAAAGCCATCAAATTTTGGTACAAGTTGTAAAAGTTAATAGAATATTGAATATGCCACATAAGCTCCGAGAGATATAATAGTTTGTCTTTGAAATCATTGTTTTAAATCTTCATCAGAAACCTTATAATGCAAGAATGAAGACCCATGATATAACTTGTCTATGGAAACTTGATGAGGTCTGAAAAACTGATTTCATAGATTTCCTTTCACACAAGTGATGTCTTTTCATAACATAAAATTCGGCAGTAGGTGGCTATAAGTGTAGAGAAATGGCTTCCTCCCATCTACTACGTGAATAACGTGTTTAAAACAACTTTGGCCTCTGCAGACTTATTTACATTAACAGCTAGCAGTAAGTAAGAGTGATATTGCTCAACTATCAGTTTAGTCAATAAAGTGATAAGCTTTAGAGAGAATGTCGGTCGGGAAGCTGTGTGTATTGGAGCAGTATAAATTGATATCAATGTCATACAACTGTCATCCTCAATTGCAAGTGTCAATAGTACAACATGATAGCACACATCCTGACTGATGGCTAACATACTGGCTAAGCTGATCGGCCTACCTATTATCAAAACACACAGACATTAAGCTCGTCTGTCTGATTGGAAAGGCTTATAACAAGTGCCCTAACTCTATTACACTCAACATCAACAACACTAATAGCTAAGTGGATAAATAACTCTTTTAACACCCATAACCAAAAAAGTGTTGCAAATAGCATTTTTACAATATAACCGATGCACTATGAGCTAATAAATTATTGGTACCAAAATATCCTCGAAATCTTGTAAAGCAAAGTGTTTTATTCAAAATGACCAAACACACAGAAATGAGACAAGAAAAAGCTGTCTCTAAGACAAATGTCGAATTAATTTTCATTTAGAAAATTTTCTCACTGGCTGCGATTATATCAATATCAACTAACACCCAACAAATGCAATGGTTTCCTAATTAAGGACTCCATGTGAGTTAGACTCCTTTCTCCTTAACATAGCTTCACTTCCACCACTAAGATCGATTTCCTAAATCAGAATGCTACCTATCAATACAGTTGTAAGCTAGGTAATAATGATTCTGTCTGATGTAGGGTAATCCTATACCAGCTTATATAGTAACACCTGTCCCTTAACCAGAAAGAAACAAGAACTGTATACTAATTAAAATCAACCTTCTGAGTATTGCTGAAGCAATGCATGTCCTTTCTGGTCCCCACAAGCGATTACATATACACTGTAATGATTTGTAAAGATGGTGCTGTTTGGTGATAATTTGGAAAAAGAGTATACAATTGGTTTATAACTGCTATTGTTGAAACAATGCTGTGAATAAGTATGACAATATGACAATGCAATTTCATCACCAATGTGTTTTATATTTATTTATTTGTGTGAAATGTTTTATTAGAATCCAGTCAGGAATGAAGCTGCTAAAGTGATGTTAACAATTTTCTTAAATAAAAAAAAAAAAAAACAACAACAAAAACAAAAGAACACATAATGGTGATGTTGACCATGGCCCAAAGCATGAAAATTGCTTTAAATGTGTAAACTTTAAACAAAAAAAGAAAAATCTCTCAAGTAGTGAAGCCACTAGAGCACTGACATTGATTTTCTAACTATAGTAAATGACCTTGACCCAACAACCCAGAAACTCAATGTTGTCAAAGATGTTTTGATCCTTAATAAGTGTGTGAAGATTGATGGAAATCCCTCTAGGCATGAAGCTGCTAAAGCAATGACAATGGTTTTCTAAAAATAGTAACAATGACATTGACCTTGGCCAAACAACTCTATAACACAAACTTTTCCAAGATATTTTGATGCTTTATAAGTGTGTGAAGTTTGATGAGAATCCCTCCAGGAATGAAGTCACCTGAGTGCTATCACACTGGGACAGAGAGGAAAACTATAGCCACTCCTCCCTCGGCTAACTAATCAATGTACATATTCTAGTGATAATCTTATTTTTTGCTTTTTAACACCTTGCCCTAAGATAATACACTAATCTAAAATGTGATCGTGCCAAATCAAGTACATTCATCAAATATGTGCTACTCTCAAACTTTAAACATGTAGCCTTATACATTATTTCAATTTTAAACCTAAACCTGCCTTTCTTTAATGTAGAACATAACATCTGATTTTCCACAACTGGACAAAACCATACTGAAGCAGAAAAAGACATATTACAGGGCAATGAAACAGCATTGTTTGGTTTGTCCTGGCTGTTCTACCTGCTTTATAAATGGCCCAAATGATCAGACCAGAAATGTTCTGATCATACCAAGTCCTCTAGAATTTTACCTGTGCTTTGCTGGGATGTGGTGCACCCTGGAACTCTATAGTACCATATGCATTTGTAGGATATGACTCTGTGTGACCATAGGGATGCCATTTCTCGTTTACAGGGGAGGGACTGTAGAGGTTTGAAAGTGTGTCATGCCAGTCTTTGTTACGACCACAGCAGCACCTGTGAACAAAAAAAGAACATGAGGCCCATAAGCCTTAATGGTCACCTGGGCTAAATTTTTGTTTTTAACAAATGACAAGCACAAACTAAGCAAACTCCCTTATCCAATATCTAGCATACAGCTTAAAGCCTGCAGGGTATTGCTTGTAGCAAGAGTGGATTTGAAGGACATTGCATAAATTTGAACAACTTTTAGGCCTTGCAGTGAAGTTTTCAAAACACTGAACGTACATGACAACTAAATTCCAACCTGTTTCGTAATTCCATTGAAAATGAATACAAATACTTAAACATTTGACCCCAGTGAGCTTGTGATAAGTATCTTCATTCAATTTAGTGACATAATGCAGCTTCTGTAAGGGGAAGTAATTATTATCAGGTCTGTAAGTCTGTATACCTTTGGGTAATATCTTAAAGTAAACAGGAAATTGATATATTAACATGGTAAAGATCAAGTACCAAAAGTTACAAACATGACTTTACTTACTTGCCAGGATCACGCAGACTGGCGATGAATTTGCAGCACTCTCGCTTGTAAAAGGTCTTCTCAACCCATGACCTCTGACTCTGCCAACACAAAAAATATTGAAACCACTTTTAAATCTCATTCTATATGGATATAAAAGAAAGGTGATCTCCTCCAAAGGTCACGTCCTCCTGAGGGATCACAAAATGTGGTAAAACTTTAATAAGGTTCTTTAATCAAATTTTTTCGATAATGATAGAAATTTCCTCACTTTGATTATTCTGATTACACAACATTAGACTTCAATCATGAGATGAATGTTTGACCTCAAGACCTTCATGTATTGCCGATGTCTTGATGTCATCTCAGTGCTGTTTTACTGTTACACGGGCACCAATATTTATTGTACCAATACATAAACAGTCCTTTAAAAATCGACTATACACAAAGGTATGAAAGACATTTTATTAGTCTGTTATATAACATGCACTGATGTTATGTATTGCTAATACATTTTTGTCAAGTTCACAAGTATACCCTCATGTACTATGAATTATGTGAAACGTCTGGTAAACCAATCTTGTAGTAAGATAAAATATTATACATTGAATTTGAGCTTCTCTCTGTAGAGAGCAACAAACATTACTCACTTTAATTGTGAGATATCTATGAATGGAATGAATTTCATTAAAATGCCTTATAAAGGAAACACGTGGATTATTGGCAATTAGAAATTCAGAATTATTTATGATAGATACTACAAAATAAAAATAAATTAATATAACAAGTCTACATAGCTCTCAATTGCTGTAGTGTATAAGGTTACCATTTCAAATTGAACAGTTTACACAGCCCATAGAACAGTAAAACATTAACTTGTTAAGTTCCACAAAGAACTTGTCACTCTGAATCTGGTAGGAGATAGCGGTAAATGCAAGAACAAACACTTAACTGAGAAATGTTTGAGCTCCAAAAGAAGATAAAATAGATTTGTTGAAGACCACTACTTGTGACCTACTGGAGGTCTCCTGGATCTAAAGGTGACTTATAGCTATTCTAACCTTCAGTGGCAGCTGTACATAAACAAACGCATGGTGCTCTGAGGTGTTGTCAGTCCTAATTCAATAAACGCTATCTCAACTACGAGGGGGAAAACTTTAAATCATTCTTACAGCACACATCTATATATGTTTCTATTTAATTATGATGGCAATGCTTTAAAAAAATCATGGGTTGACAATGGTGTAAGTCTTTCAGAACTGTGGGCATATTTTTCACAACAGATCTAGCTAGAATGGTGCCCTAGAGGATTCTAACTAGGTCAAAACTACCTCATGAACATCCAAACACATCATTCCAATCAGGAATAGTTGTCCATTGTTCTTCATATACAAATAAATGTACATTCCAACCCTGCTTTTTTTTAGTCTCAAATAAAGAAATAAAGGAATATTCAACCAAAAGCAATTATGGTATAACAGAAAAAAACAGTGTTCATATTATTTTACCTTATCTATTCAGGCTCCAACCATTCATGAAAAAACACAAAGTACAGAACTAAGATAAACCATTTCACAACAGACAGGACAAAGACCAAACCAATCTCATTACACTAACAGTACTGGAGACAGAGCTTTGTAGCAATATACAAACACCAACAGGAAGCAGCATCATTATGAGTCCAGATCAAACAAATTCCATTAAACTTAAAGTACAAATACAAAGTAACCCTGTAACAAAATACAAACATCATCAGGAAAAAATTATAAGCTATAGAAAATTAATCACAACAAACAAGAAAAGTGAAGAATATCACCAAGTAAAAGCTTAGACTATTCATAATATACAAATGAAGCCAAAACACGTAAGCTTAGACAAGTTATGATATGTAAATAAAGCCAAGATACCAAAGTTTAGACCAGTCATGATATAGGGTATTTTCCAGATTATAAGCTGCAGCTTTTTTCCTTGGTGGTCGAGCGTGCACTTTATATACCAGTGGGGCTTACATGTGGGGGATAAAAAAATAACCAGAATGAGAAAGACAAAAACAAAAAAATCGTACCAGTACATCAGTATGAGATGGTACAGAGTTTTTTACGAGTATCTGTCCACAAAATGTTTGTGACAAAAACAGATCGTCTAGAACCGTCATTTACAACTGTATACAGGATAATTTTATTATTGAAATAAAATAAAAATTCTGATTTCTGGATCTAATTAATCATACCTTTTAAAATGAATTACAACAAATCTTCTGAACTTTCTGGTTGCTTCTGAAGCCATAGCGGAAGTTTACAATAGCCTGTTGCATCCTGGGATTGATAGGTCATCAGGATATAGGTCAAATTCTTAAATGACCGCCATGCATGTTTACCATAAGAATGGAGATATTAAGTAAATCGTATATAATGTCAGGCCTTACATTTGTGCAGAGATAATCTTTGGAGGCTCCCAAGCCAAATGAGTTTTATAATTGCTATTTTACTTCTTTGAAACACATCAATAAAATAAAGGATTACTGTGTATAATTCATTTGAAAACTTACATCGATTGTTACACTGACAATCTTGGTAAATTGCCTTCTGTCGTATATCAACAAACTTTGGTCAACATAACAGTTACCACATTGTAAGAAAAGGTGCTACTTATATTTTGGTGCAGCTAATGTGTGGATCAAATAAAAAAAATAGTTAAAAATTAGGTCTGCTGCTTATATACCAGTGCAGCTTATAACAAGGAAAACACGGTACAACACCAAGATACCAAAGCTTAGTCCATTCATAATATACTAACAAGGATACTGTGTATTCCTAATTCTTCTATTGGCCATTATAAACTATTATACAGCAATGATTTATAAGGATAGTACTGTTTGGTATTAATTTGGAAAAAACAAAAAGTATGCAACTAGTTGACAATTGTTTTTAATGGAATAAGGCAATAAATATGACAATTGCACGATACAATTTCATCACCAATGTGTGATAATTTGTACATTTGTGAGTCTGATTAACATTAAATAAGATATGAAACCAACAGAATGCTGATAATGCTTTCCTGAAAATATTTAATAACCTTGATCTTGATCCAACAACTCTGAAACTCTAACTTGTTCAAGATATTGAAGTGTTTTGGAAGTTTTCAAAAATTGCATGATGAAAATTCCTCAAGAAGTGAAGCTGCTTGAGTATTAACAATGATATTCTGAAGACAGTTACAATGACCCTGACCATGACCCAACAACCCTGAATCTGGACATTTCATTTTGCTGCTCAGTGTGTGAAGGTTGATGAGAACCACTCAAGGGATGTAGTTGCTAGAGTGCTGACGATTTTCTAAAATTATTTACAGTGACATTGACCAAAAAACCCTTTGATCACTGCAAGATATTTTGATGCTTAAAAAGAAAGCAGAGTTTGATGAGAATCCCTCAAGGAATGATGCTGCTAGAGCATTGACAATCTTTGTTATAGACAGACAGACAGAGAAAAATGAAAACTAAAGCACACCAATTATTGCCGTCAGGGGACTTATAAAGTCAGGACACAAAATCAAAATTCGTAGAGTCAGTCTCATATTAAAAACCAAGTAGAAAAAAGGAATGATCAGATGGTAAGAAGGATCTACAGATAGACAAACAGACATCCTGCTTGCACTAGGGCACCAATATATCTGATACATATGCGGGTCCCCTTTTACAGGAAACATCATGGGAAATGTAAACACACAAATTTTAGCATATCCTCACATAAAGACATTTAAATAGAATTTTATTTCTATCTCCATCTCCATAACCTAATAATACAGCAATCCTGTGAGTAGTTCTAAAAATCTTGTGTCTTTATCCTCATTGTTTGGGAAATTTTCTTTAAGGAAGCCATGTTATCCTTAGAGCAGTGTAATACATCTACTGTGAGTTATTCTAACAGCAGTGTGTGTACTACAGAAAATACAGTGAATTATCCTGAGAGAAATGTAATGCATCTATACAATGAGTTATCATATGACAAATGTAATACATCTATATGCCGAGTTATCCTAAAAGCAGACATGTAATACACCCGTTTACATTGAGTGGTTTTATATATATATATATATATATATTCCAAAAATCTTTCTAATAAACTATTTTTTTGTTCCAAGTGTTTTTAATTTAATTATTCATTTATGCAGCGATAACTTGCCAAATCTTAAGATATAATGAATGCAGCTGATAAGTCACATGATATTGTAGAAACCACTTAATGTCATACTGGTTAATGTCACTTTCTGGTTAATATCACATTTTCTTGAAACACTGATTTTTTTTCTCTATATCTTCTATGTAATAAAACATCTCATAATCTCACTTATTTTCATGTGGGTAGTGGTTAACATCACTTCATTTTGACGACTGTAACAAAAAAACCACATGTAAATCAAGTATGCAAATATGGTACCTACACCCATCTTTGTATCCCAAAAACAAAAGATTCAAAAATCCCGCCCTCCCTACGACCATGAGCCTTCACGTCATGAACATAGAGTTATTTCCCTTCCTCTTATCTTTATGGCTACCGGAGCGGGCGGACGTGCTATATTCAGCTGAGTGCCTTCCTTTTCCTTTTAGCTTAAGTCTACCTTATAGCCGATTATTTATATATCGGTTTATTGCTTTAAACCCATCCTTAACTATAACAGTCTTTGCAGACGTTTATTTAGTTAATATATCCTGCTTTTAGGCCTTAATCGGCCGGCCTTTGTTCGGCCTTTGTTCGGCCATTTTGCTATACTCCACGCACCGAGCGCGTATCTACGTGTTTTGCGCTGTTCGGTTTTTTCGTGAAGTTTTTTCGCTTTTTATCGGTCGTATTATTTATTCGACCGTATATTTTGCTTTGCTTTTTTACGTTTCGTTAGCTTTTGCTTTCGTTCGTATTTGTTTGTTGGAGTTGTGTTTTTTCACTCCATTTATTTTTGTTACGTTTATTTGTATTAATAACTGTTGTTATTTGATTATTTATTTCGTAACAATTATGGATTCAGGGATGCGTCGTGGTTCAGCACATGGGTGTTCTCACTTCTACGGAGAGCAGGACCCCCATGATGCCTGTCCCTTATGCCGACCTTGCAGCGAGGCCTCGCCGTGCGAACTTTGTTTGCACGCCGGGTCCGCTGTAAAGGCTCCCCTACCCAGTCGGCGAACTTCTCGCCGGAAGAGGGATTCGTCCTCATCTTCCGGTAAGAGAGGTAAGCCATCCAGGTTTTCTACCCCCGGCCCTGAGCCGAGGGGTGAGGTTGTCACTGCTGGGGGTGTTCTCACACTGAGCTCCGCCCTCGAGCAGGGGGTGGCTCCCCCTGTCCAGGCGCGTCCTGGTATAGGGGGGGAGCAACCCGACCCTGACTCGGCGAAGTCTAGGGTCGAATCGGCCGGTAGCTCTCGACAGCCGGCGGTGCTACCGTCGGAAAGGGACTTCCGGTCACAGGTCTCTGAGTCTTTCAGGGACCTCGGCACGCCAGGTGGCGTCGTTGGTGGGGGCCGCCCTGACGCCGGACCGGTA